GACCATTGCTCCTTGTTCTACCATCCGTCACTACTGTGAACAGCCATTCTCCATCCTCTTTGGAACCCTCCCTTCAGGAAGTAGAAGGCTGCTATCAAATCCCACCTCGCTCTTCTCTTCCACAGACTAAACAAATCCAAATGCCTGAGTCTTTCCTCAGAGGTCATGCACTCCAGCCCCCTAATCATTTTGATCATCCTCCGATGGACCCTCTCCAACTGGTCCACATCCTTTCTATAGTGGTGGGCCCATAATTGGACACAATACTCCACAATATTAGGCCTCACCAAAGCCTAATAAAGGGGAATAATCACTTCTCTGGATCTGCTGGCAATGCTCCTCCTAATGCACCCTGTTTCATTGGAAGAAACCAATATGCCATTAGCCTTCTTGGCTACAACGGCACACTGTTGACTCATATCCAGTTTCTCATCCACTGTAATCCCCAGGTCCTTTTCTGCAGAACTGCTACGTAGCCATTCAGTCCCCAGCCTGTAACAATGCTTGGGATTCTTCCATCCCAAGTGCATGACTCTACACTTGTCCTTGTTGAACCTCATCAGATTTCTTTTGGCCCAATCCTCTAGTTTGTCCAGGTGACTCTGGACTCTATCCCTGCCCTCCAGCATATCTATCTCTCACCCTAGCTTAGTGTCATTTGTGAACTTGCTGAGGGTGCCATCCATCCCTTCATTCAGGTCATTAATAAAGATGTTGAACAAAACCTGTCCTAGAACCGAACCTTGAGGCACTCCACTGGAAACCAACCGCAAACCTGACATTAAGCCATAGATCACTACCCATTGGGTCCAACAGTTTAGCCAGCTTTCTATCCATCTTACAGTCCATTTATCCAATCCATATTCCCTTAACTAGCTGGCAAGAATATTGTGGAAGACCGTATCAAAAGTTTGCTAAAGTCAAGGTATATCACATCCACCAACTTTCCCATATCCACAAATCCAGTTACCTCATCATAGAAGCTAATCATATTGGTCAGGCACGACTTGCCCTTTCTGGATCCATGTTGACTATTCCTGATCACTTTCCCCTCTTCCAAGTGCTTCAGAATGGATTCCTTGAGGATCCCCTCCATAATTTTTCCAGAGACTGAGGTAAGGCTGACTGGTCTGTAGTTCCCTGGATTGTCCTTCTTCCCTTTTTTAAAGATGGGCACTACATTTGCCTTTTTCCAATCATCCAGGATGTCTCCCAATCTCCACGAATTTTCAAAGATAACGGCCAAAAGCTCCACAATGACATTTGCCAACTCCCTCAGAAGCATTAAAACCAGGCCCATGGATTTGTGTATGTTACCTTTTCTAAATAGTTCCTAACTTGTTCCTTCCCCACCAAGGGCTGTCCACCTCCTTCCCATACTACATTGCCTAGTTCATTTGTCTGGGAGCTGACCTTGTCTGTGAAGACAGAGACAAAGAAAGCATTGAGTACTTCAGCTTTTCCCACATCATCTGTCACTAGGTTACCTCCTTCATCCAGCAGGGGCCCTACACCCTCTCGGATCACCCTCTTATTGCTAACATGCCTGTAGAAACCTTTTTTGTTATCCTTCACATCTCTTGCTAGCTGCAGTTCCAATTGCGCTTTCGCCTTCCTGATAACTCCCCTGCATTCTCGACCAATACACTTAAACTCCTCCCTAGTCATCTGTCCAAGTTTCTACTTCTTGTAAGCTTCCGTTTTGTGTTTAAGCTCACCCAGTAAGTCAATCTGGTCACCTACCATATTTGCTTTTCTTGCTGCGCATCGAGATGGTTTCTTCCAGTATCTTTTAATAAGTCCTCTTTAAAATACTGCCAGCTTTCCTGGACTCCTTTCCCCTTCATGTTAGCATCCCAGGGGATTCTGCCCATCAGTTTTCTGAGGGAGTCAAAGTCTGCTCTTCTGAAGTCCAGGGTGTGTATTTTGCTATTCTCCTTTCTTCCTTTGGTCAGCATCCTATAATCTACCATCTCATGATCACTGCTTCCCAGGTTGTCACCCACCTCTACTTCCCCTACTAGTTCCTCTCTGTTTGTGAGCAGCAGGTCAAGCTGAGCATGGCCCCTGGTTGGTTCCTTCAGCACTTATACCAAGAAGTTATCCCCAACATTCTCCAAAAAATTCCTGGATTGTCTGTGTACTGCTGTATTGGTTTCCCAACAGATGTCAGGGTGATTAAAGTCCCCCGTGAGAACCAGGGCCTGCGGTCTGGAAGCTTCTCTCAGTTGTCCAAAGAAAGCCTCTTCTACCTCATCCACCTGATCCGGTGGTCTATAGCAGACACCAACTACAACATCACCCACGTTGCTTTCACCTATAAGCTTAACCTGTAGACTCTCAATAGACTTTTCTCCCTTTAAATACTGGATCTCCGAGCAATCATACTGTTCTCTTAGGCTACGTCTAGACTACAAGCCTCTTCTAAAAGACTGCAACCACTTCTTTTGAAAAAGCAAGCCGCTTTTTTGAAAGAGAGCACCCAGGCAGTCTGGATGCTCTCTTTCGAAAAAGCCCTCTTTGCATTCAAGAATGCCATTTTTCAAAAGAGCACTTTCGAAAAAGGAGTTCTTCCTCATACAATGAGGTTTACTGCGGTCGATAAAACCGCCGCGTTCTTTCGATTTAATTTTGAAAGAACATGGTGGCAGTCTAGATGTAAGGGAAGTTTTTTTTTAAAAAAGGCCACTTTTTTCGAAAAACCCCTATAATCTAGACACACCCTTACATACAATGCAACTCCTCCTTCTTTTCTTCCCTGCCTGTTCTTCCTGAATAGTTTATACCCTTCCATGACAGTGCTCCAGTCATGCAAGTCAACCCACCAAGTCTCCATTACTCCAATCAAATCATAATTCTTCGACTGGACCAGGGCTTGTAATTCTTCCTGTTTGTTTCTGAGGCTTCACACATTTGTGTTGTAAGGGGCTGTTCTTCTAACCCCAATTATAGCAAGTAACTAGCTCATTTTGTTTACTTTCTTAAGCAAGTTGGGTCTGACCTTACTTTGGACTTAATCCTATAAACATATGTATCAATGAGACAGCTCACATGTGAAAGCAAACACAAGTGGAATAAGGCCATAGTCTCCATTTCTGGAAGGGACTATGGCATCTATTTTTTCCATTTGTTGTCATTACATATAATCTGGCTCTGCATTCAGAATTCAGTGAACTATCTCACTTTAGAAATGAGCAATTTCCTCGTTGCCATCATTTCTGTACTTAAAATTTGCTCAGCCTCATGGGGCACATCTTATTTTTGTAAAGTAGTAATGGCAATGCAGTAATACCAATTTACTTAAGCATACTATATTTGTTACAGACAATTTAATATATATTAGGATGTTGTCAACATACGCGTGCTCCAGTAATGCATGGGGACTATTCTGGATGACAACCAGATATTATTTTGTAATTCTGCTTCTTGATTAATTAATTCTATAGTCCAAATGCACTGCTTGGGTTACTGAATGTAAAAGACACAGGCCAATATTTTTAGGAGAATTTCTACAGTTGAAACAATTAGTTCCAGCTTAATTTCTTCTAAACAGAAATCAGAAGTCACTAATCATTCCATAATAATGAGACACTAAAGAGAGAATAAACAGAATAGCCATAGTAGGAACACTAAAAGAGAGAGGATTTTTTGACTAAAGAAATCATTTGTGTCCTAGAAAGGGATAAAAGCACTCTCCGTCTTTTTTTTTTTTTAAGTTCTACAAAATATGCATACCGCTGCCATCCCGATTTATAGTGATGGTATCAAAGCTTGTAATTTGCATTTAAATCAGGCATCTTTAAAAAAAATAGGTATAGCAGTCTTTCCGAATATTACTGAAGCACACACAACTGTCCATTTTTCTTCAATGAGTAATGATAAGTGATGCAATTATTTTAGAATTAACCATAATTCTCTGAAGTTCCATGTATAGTTCAGTAGGTAATGGAAATTTGAGGGACATCTTGTAGTTAAATGCCAATTCTCTCTCTCTCTCTCTTTGTCTCTCTCATGTACACATACTCAGAGAGAGAGAGAGAGAGAGAGAGGACACCTAGTGGTGTTTACAAGCACCACAGTAAGGCCTAGACAGAGAAGTACTGGACCCAGAAAATTCCACCCTTCAAA